TCTAAAATGAACAATTTTTTTTCAACAATTGTTAGTTGGTTATAATACAATGAATTATTATTATGGTTATAATTGTTCATATAATTATTACAATTATTATTATTCTGTTGTTGCTCAATATTGTATAATTGCATATGATGTCTACCTCTGTTCAGATTATTAATATATATATTATTATCACATATATTATTATCACATATATTATTATCACATATATTATTATCACATATATTATTATATTCTTCATTTATTTTGTTTTGAGTTTTTTGAATTATATTATATGAATTCTGATTAATCAATGGATTATCCAAAATGTTATTGACATTTGTTTTATTTTTTACCATAGAACATAACTTTTCATTATAATTTATCTTATGACATGTTCTATTAACTTTATTATTAATATCATTTGAAAGGTTTTTAATTTGCTCATTAATATTTTTTTTTATAAAAAATGAAGTATGATTATTTTTACCAGATAAGATAAATAGATGGTCGAAATTATACGTCAATTTGTCACATATCATTTTAATTAACGACCAATTAAACGATTGTAATTTTTTACAGTACACATTTTTTTTAATCAAACTTATTTTATTAAGAATGGATAGATAATGAATTAAATCTTCTATGTTATATTCATCATTTTTTATAAAATAAAAACATTTATTCATATAACCTTCTAATAAAACATTATCAACTAAATTTAAGTTTGTTAATATATTCATTGTATGAATTAACATTTTACTTGTATATAGATAATGTATTTTAAATTTTATAGAATCTAAAAGATTCTTATTAATATCCAAACATAAATTAGAATAGAAATTATCTGCAAAATAAGGATAATATTTATTAAATAAAACTAATATTAATAATAAATTTTCAACAGTTTCTTGTTCATTTTCATTATTATTTTTAGCTTTATATATTAATTTTTTAAAAATGTCCAAGTTCATTTTATTATTATCATCTGTTAAATATTTATTCAATTCTTTAATATTTATATTTTTTTCTGATTTTATTCTTTTTAAAACATTTAAGCTTAATTTAGATGTCCTAATAAATTTCTTTTGATGGTTTAAGTTCCCATTTTTATTATTATTTATAAGGATACATGTATTTTTTTTGTTTAAATAATTTAAAAATAGATAACTACGATTTTTTATAATAGTCATAATTTTTTTTTTTTTTTTTTAAAGGCTAATATCAATATAAATAATATATTATAATGAACCATTTTAAAAAATATATCCTCCTAATATTTAATAAAATTATATTCATAGATATTTTAATATATACATTTTTTTTTAGATTTAAGGAAAATATAATATATATACATTTCTTTTAAAATATTTTGGATAATATCTTATTATATATCTGTTCATATAATTATAATGTTATCTATATATATATATATATAATAATTTTTATTAATATTATAACCACATGATGATTATTGTTCTATTTTATTGGATAATTTTTTTTTTTTTGATATTTCAGAATGATCAAAATGAATATATATATATATATATAAAGTAACTAATGGGATAAATTTATACCTTACATTTAATTGATTCATACCAATTTGTTAATACATATATTATAAATATAATTTAATATTATATTTCTACATAACCATATTATTATATTGAAATGATTTTTTTTTTTTTTAAAGAAATAAATGAGAAATGGCAGGAACTTTAAAGAAAAAATTACTATATTATATAAATTTTTTAATTATAATTTGCTATAAAATTGATATATTTTGAAAAAAAAAAATATACAAATATTTTTTTTCTTTGGTATATTATATTTTATAGGCAGTGAAATAAAATAATATTCATATTATGTAATGATTATATATATATATATATATATATATATATATAATTATTATATACATTTAAATATTATATATATATAATAATATATATACATATATTTTATATATATGTTTTACGTAGAAAATATTTTTAATATATGTATTTTATATATATATTCCTTTTTGAAAATAATTCAGGACTTTTTTTTTTTTTTTTTTTTTTTTTTTTTTTAAATATGAATAATTTTATAAATCTACAAGAGTTTACAAAACTTCCTAATATTATTCTTTCATTTGAAAGAAAAATTTGAAGCTTACATATAATTTTATTTATATTTTCAGAATTAAAAAATTGTTTTATTTATTTATTTATTTATTTATTATTCCCTTGATATATTAATTTTGTTCCCTTTTTTTTTTTTTTTTTTTTTGTTACTGCAATATATATATGTATATACTATTTTGTATACATAATATTATTTAATAAAATACCAGAAATGTAAAAAAATAATACGTTTATATATAAATATATATACATAAACGTATTATTTTATAATTAACAATATAATATATAAATAATAATATATATATGCATAATTTTTATAATGTAAAAAATACTAAATTTATGTTCCATAAATATATGTATGTATTATATATATATATATATATATAATATATATATATTATATTAATTTATATATTCATACATAAAATTTTGATAATAGAATATGTTTAAAATAGAATATAAAGAAGATAGAGGAAAATGCGTTGTTGCAGTAAATCAAATACGAGCAGGATATTGCTTGGTAGAATCACATCCTGAGATATTTATTCCTTTATGTGTTAAATATATGGCTCCTAGAATTGTTGATCAGAATAATAAGAAGAATAATTTTAAGATAATAAATACGTGTTTTTATTGTTTAGAAAAATTCAATAAATGCATATGTTGTCCTAACTGTAAATATGTGGTATATTGTAGTGATATGTGTTTAGAGCGAGCTTGGAAATCTCATAGAGAAGAATGTGATATATATCGATCTAATATATTTGATAGATATTGTCCATCTATAATTATGAGATTAGTTATTAATTGTTACTTAAATCATTTTAATTTTTATGACTATTGTGGTAGTAGTACAGATATAAGTAAAGAAAAATATGAAAGATTAAAATATCCAGCATATATAGTAGCAGTAGCACTCATGAGTAAGAGAAAAAAAATATTCCACAATTTTGATAATAATGAAAGTATACTTAAAAATATTATAGAAAAATTTATTAAGATATCTAAAAATAGTTTACAAATTATTGATAATGAATTAGAACCAGCTGGATTAGCAATATATAAAAAACCTGTACCTTTCTTTAATCATTCTTGTTTAAGTAATTGTGTTACAGTTTTTAGAAATCAGAAATTATATATTAGAACTTTAATGGATGTATATCCAGGTGAAGAATTAACTATTAGTTATATAGATATCGCTTTTGATCGAAGTACAAGATTATCTATATGCATGGATCAATATTTTTTTACATGTTCATGTAAATTATGTAAAGTTAATATAGCATCAGAATGTCATAATATTTTTAATACCGAAATTGTATGTACAAATTCGGAAAGTTGTAAAAAATTTCTAGGATATATGGAAATAGTACTTATATCAGAATTAGAACGTAAACAATGTTATATAAATAAAAGTAGTTTTAAAACATATCCTGTTTTAAAAAAAAGTAATATTGATAATGTCTGGAGATGTATGTTATGTAAAGCAGAAGTTGGTGATAATATTATAAAAGGTTTAGTAGACAAAGAAAAAGAAACATTTAAAGAAACTGTGTATCTTGAAACATTATTCAATGAAAAATACACATATGATAATAAAAGTGTTTTACAATCATTAAATAAAATTAAATCAAAAATTGATTATTTAACAAATTATTATCATCATGCTAAATATTCTCTTCAAAAAATGAGAGCAAAAATTTTATATATATCTATACAATTGCATGAATTTAAATTGGCTTATAATATAGCAAATCAATATTTAAAATCTATTGAAGTTTCTTATGGAAAATATTCCCCAATATATGGTTATTATATTTTCCTCACTGGGAAACTAGCTCTTTTCCTTGATTTAAAAAATGAGGGGTTAGGATTAATTCACAAAGCAAAAAAAAATATTATTAAAACTTATGGTCCAGATTCTCTGATATATAAGGATTTGGAAAAATTTTTATATACAAACAAATATTAAAAAAGGGAATAAAATAAAAAAAGAAACATATATAGGCATATATGCATTGTTACAATAATATATATGAATATATACATACATATATTTATATATATAATTTTTTTTTTTTTTTTTTAATTTTTTATATATAATGAAAATTTCCATTTTTCATACATTTATTTATCATTTGTTTTTACTTATTTATAAAGGATAAAATATACTTGTAGTATTATTGTTTTTTTTTTTTTTTTTTTTTTTTTTTTTTTAATTACTTTGAAGAATACATAAATTTTTTAGTTGTATATATATATATATATATATATATATATATATAATGAATTTATATATATGTTTTATTTTTTTATTTATTTATTTATTTATTTATTATTGTTATTATTTTTTTAATATATTTTTTTTTCTAATATAATATAAAAAAAAAAATTATATATTAACATTCTTTTATTTTTTAAAAGAATTTGTCTTATTAGAAGTTTGAATGAATATTAAATGTGTTCCACATTATTGATCTAAAGGAAATATATATATATATATATATAATATATCCAAAAATGGATTCATATAATCTAAAGGAAAAAGAAATATAACGAAATATATATATTATAATTTAAATGCAACTTTTTCCCTTTTTTTTTTTTTTTTTTTTTTTTTTTTTTTTTTGTTAACAATGGGGAGAAAAAAAGGGAAATAATAATATAAAAGAATTCAAATGAATGTTTTAAAAATATATTTTCCATAATATATTATTTTTAATAAATTTTTTTATATAAGAATTATTTCTTAAATTTCATTTTATTTATAATTTTATATATACATGAATATATATATATTTACATTATTATATATATATTATTAAAATTCTGAAAATATATATTAGAATATTTGAAAATTTAATTATTTTTGTACTCCCCTAAAATGCAAGCCACCTGTGGGAGTCGAACCCACGATCTTTTGATTACGAATCAAACGCATTACCAACTGTGCTAAGATGGCTTAAGTGAAAATTCTTCCTCAAACTAATTATAATATTTTCCTTTAAATATTTTATTTAAATAATAGAATATTTTATTTTTCTTTCTCAGGATAAATTAATATTATAATTTATTAATATTAAAATAAATTGCATCTTTATAAAATATATTTTTTAATTAATATTAGTATTAAAGATAAATATGAATTTTTTTTTGCTATAAGTAGTAGATTAAAAAATAATATATTTATATATATATTTAAAAATGATATATTTATAAAAAAAAAGAAAAAATAATAATATAATAAAAAACTATATTATATATATAATATTATATTAATTATAATATGATATAAAAACTTCTTATTAGTAATATATGCTTTAAATATATACATATATGTATAAATGTGATCATAGATAATGATATACCAATACCTATTATTTAATAATATATATATATATATATAATAATTATATTTCTTTTTTTGGTTTTTCTATTTAGCCCTTTACAATAAATATTATATATTCATTTTGACCTTATTTTATTGTATTACATAAGAATATATCAGTTTAGTTACTTTTTTTCTTTTCTTTAAATTTTTTTTTTTTTTTTTTTTTTTTTTACTTTTATATTTTTCTAATTTATATATATTATTTTTATAGCGGTTATATATTACTATTAAAAGTACATATTTTTTTTTCATTTGAGTAAATGCCCAAAGGGGAAAAGAATATTTAGAAGAAAACAATATAAAAAAACAAAAAAAACAAAAGAAAAAAATAAGTAAATATATATAAAAAAAAAAACATATATAATATTATGTTATAAATAGTAATAAGTAGAATATAATATAAAATTTATGCAAATATGTTATATTTTTATCTTTTTAATTATATATTTATTTTTTTTTCCTTTTTGATTTTACTTGTTTTAACATAATCTTATAAACTTTTTAACATCTTTTCCTTTCTTCCTATTTTTCCCCTATATTTAGTTTTGTTTATATTTGAAATACATAAAAAAAAAAAAAAAAAGCATATTATTATGAATAAAGATATTTTATTAATTATCTCGAAATATATAGTTATATGTATAGATTATCTAAATTAAGTGGGAATATAAATGTATATATATATATATATATATATATATATATATATATATATATATTATATATATATATAAATATATATATATAATATATGTATATGTATCTTATATATTTTATGTAATTTTATTTTATTTATTTATTTATTTTTTTTTTCCTAATTTGTATTATAATATTTTTTTTCATGGGAAAAAAAAAGAAAAAGAAAATAAATTAATATTGTTATATAAGACATAAAAAAAAAAAAAATTCACCTTTATAATAATTAATATATAAATAAAAATTGATTTTTTTAGCATATTTATGTGTAATATTATTTATTTTTATGTGATTTGATTTTAATAGTTTTTTTAATTTTTACTTTAAATAAATAAATAAATATATATATATATATATAAATATTTATTTATTTATTTATTTATTTATTTATTTATTTTATTTTTTGTCCTGAGTAAATGTGCAAATGGTAATTGTTACTGAGAAAATAAATAATAACGTTAAGATAGAAGATACCAATTTAAATATTTTTGAGGAAGACATGGACAAGAATGTCCATGAGGATAGTGAAATTATTTATACAATAAATGAAGAGAAAGTTAATAAATGTAACAAGATAGAAAAAGAACATAACCAAAAAGAAGATAAGGAAGAGGTTACGTTAAACAACCATAATGTGGAAGATGAAGATATAAAAAAAACTGATGAAATATTGATGAACGACGAAAAAATAAAAAATGATTATAATTTAGAAATTGGTGAATATTCAAACAACCACAAGTTTGATGATCCTTTGAATAATAACAAAACAGATAATTGTGATAAAGAAAGAAAGAACATTTGTCTTGAATTATTAAAAACATGTGATGCTTTAAAAAATATTGGAAATAAATATTTCAAAGAAAATAATTATATTATATCTCTAAGATATTATACAGAAGCTATAGATTTAATAAAAAAATCATTTGAACAATATCGTAATAATTTTACCGATATTGATAACAAAAATAATACAAATAATTTACATGATGATATTGAAGTGGATGATGAAGATAAAGAATTATTTAAAGAATATTATAGTAAAAGTACCTTATGTAAAAAAAGTGATTTTATTAGTATAAAAGAAACAGATTTACATATATATTATACGAATCGTTCTTTTTGTCATATAAAATTAGAAAATTATGGAACAGCTATAGAAGATATTGATGAAGCTATTAAAATTAATCCATATTACGCTAAAGCGTATTATAGAAAGGGGTGTTCCTATTTACTTTTATCAGATTTAAAAAGTGCATCTGATTGTTTTCAAAAAGTATTAAAACTTACGAAAGATAAAAATTCAGAATTAAAATTGAAACAATGTAAAAAACTTATTTTTGAACAACAGTTTCAGAAAGCTATTGAATTAGAACAAAAAATGCCTTATTATGAAACATTAGTTCTTGATTCTCTTAAGATAGAAAATATGGAAGCTCCTATATATGATAGAAATAATTTAAATGTTGATTTTTTGAAAAAGGTAGCTGATTATATAAGTATACCAAATAATAAATTGAACAAAAAATGTGTATGTTCAATTGTATTAGATATTATTAAATTATTAAAAGAACTACCTACATTAGTTTATTTAAATTTACAAGAAGATGAAACTTTGACAATATGTGGTGATGTTCATGGACAATATTATGATTTATTAAATATAATGAATATTAATGGTTATCCTTCTGAAAAAAATTCTTACTTATTTAATGGTGATTTTGTAGATAGAGGAAGTTTTTCTGTTGAAGTTATTATATTTTTATATCTAGCTAAACTAACGTTTCCTAATAATGTACATTTAACAAGAGGAAATCATGAAACTGATAATATGAATAAAATATATGGATTCTTAGGTGAATTACAAGAAAAATATGATGAAAAAATGCATGTCTTATTTTCAGATTCCTTTAAATTCTTACCTTTAGCATATGTTCTTAATAAAAACATTTTTATATGTCATGGAGGTATACCTAGTAAAACAGATACTACCTTAGAAGATATTGAAAAAATTGATAGAAATAAAGAACCTTTAGATGAAGGAGTTATGACCGACTTATTATGGTCTGATCCAAATGAAGAAAAAGGTTTTAAACCATCTAAAAGAGGTATTGGATTTTCATTTGGTACAGATATTACTGAAAATTTCCTAAAAATTAATAATCTAAGTCTTATTATTAGATCTCATGAAGTAAGAGATGAAGGTTATTCTCTAGAACAAAATGGACAATTATATACAGTCTTTAGTGCTCCTAATTATTGTGATATTATGAAAAATAAAGGAGCTTTCCTAAAATTCAAAGGAAATACAATCAAACCTGAATGTGTAACATTTACAGAAGTCGAACACCCAAATGTCCCTTCCCTTAAATATGCTCATAATTTGTATCAAAACATTTAAAAAATAAAAATATATCTATATATATGTTATATATTATTTATGTTATATGATATATATATTCTGGGTTATGATATATGAATTTATACATATATATTTATAATATTTCCTTTCTTTTTTTTTTTTTTTAGTTTATATTTAAAAAAAAAAAAAAAAAAAAAAAAAAAATTGGTATATATGTTTATATGTATATATAAATATATATATATATATATATATATTATAATTAATTTTATTTTTAATTCTATAATATACTGTTAAATAAACAAAATGTATCAATTATAGGTATGTAAAGAGAGAAAAACAAAACAAGAAAAAAAATAAAGTAAAAAAGAATTTATCATTTATTTATTTTTTTTTGTTTAAAATTCTCTAGAACTTAATATATATATCTTTGAAGAATTTTAATTTAAGGCAAAAAAAAAAAATAAATAAATAAATAAAGATCTATATATATATATATATATATATATATATATATATATATATATATATATATATATACATATGTAGTTTGTTTTTTCTTAATACATTACATATATAATATTGATTATATGGAGTATAATTGCAGGAATATATGACATTACGTGCTTGATATTTTTTCATGTGAATTATAATTTTTTTTATATAATTTTAATCCTTAAAATGTTTAATATATATTAAGACAAGTATATCTTAATAGTTGTTAAACAAAATATATATACACATATATATATATATATATATATATATATATTTATATATGTATATATATACTCTATATTAGTGGAATAAGTCTATTATGTATTGTTTTGAGTAATCAAAAATTTTGGACAAAATTGGTTATTTTTATTTAATTAAAAATCATTTATTATATATATATATATATATATGATATAAATAAAGAGAAATTAATAAATCTGTATATGTTAAATTATTTTGATATAAAAATCAAAATATTACATAAATGTTACATTGCGTATGTATATCTTTATATATATATGTTCGTATGTATTGCTATTTTTTTTTTTTTTTTTTTTCATGGCATTTATTTTATGTTATGCCCTTTTTTTAAATTGCATAGGATTAGGGTAAGCATTATTACTTCTTGCATTTTTTGCTTTTATAAATAAACTCCTCATACGATTAATATTTAGCTCCATTAATCTTTTATTTATACATTCCATATTTTTTTTAACTAAAGAATAATGATTTTTCATTGAATTGATATTGATGGTATTTGTTTCATTAGGGCTTGTTTTCATGAATTGTTCAAAGGGTAATGTATTTTTATTTTTAAATACATTAGTATATAATTCAGTTATTTTATTTTGTTTACACACTTCATCCATATTTGAATGAGGTACAGGTTTCTGTCCTTGGAACATTTTGTACAAATGAATATTTTCCTTTAGATTAATTTTTAAGAAAAATAATTTTTCATCTGATATATTAAAATTGAAAATATGTTTATTTGTATTTTTTTTATCATGACATTGAT